CACAGGTTTAGTCTTGATAATCAAGTAACTGTGATTAAATTTTTAAAAAAGTGGATTGCATTTGGTGCTGCATTAACTTTCCAAGCATGCTGTACACATTTAAGTAACATTGCAAAATGTCAGATGCAATGTAAACATTTTTAAAGATCTGAATCCATCCATTGCCCTGCCTATACTCCATAGCTTCCGTTCAGCAACATCAGCTAAAAACAATGTCATGATCCACACGTACACTGACATTTCACCCAGTTCAACCTCAACATCAACCATCTCTACTCCTCCATTACTTCTGATTATTCATGTTGTTTGTGATAGATTCAGTACTGGATTGGCAGAAATTTCCTCGAATTAAATAAAGACTGAAGCACTTGCCTTTAGTCCTCACCACAAACTTTTTTGCCACCAATTCCATGCCTCTCCCTGACATTTGAGGAATGATGCAGGCTGTTTGCAGCCTTGATGTTTGATCTGACCTGAACCTTGGCTGAGCGACTGAACCCATACCCTCATTGCTGGGACCTCTGAAACACGCTGCATCTCCGCCCAAACTCAGCTTATCTGCTGCTGAATCCACGATTATGACATCTCCAACTATTAACAGTGACAGACGTGACAGGGCAAATGAGCTCCTGTACACAAACCTGACTTCCTGTTATTGCAATTATTGGTCACTCTTCTGTTAACACATTCCATTGTAGATCTCAATGTCAACATTTCTGATTACGTTTTGTCACAATTATTCGGTCTTGGCCTCCAGCTAACTCTTAGATTAAGTTGCTGAAGGTTCCCTCCTCCATCTTGCATACATAAAAATGTACATTAATCAACATACTATGTTCAGGACCGCATGCAATTTACTATATAAAAATAATAAAATGTTGCATTATGTTCAACCACTGAATCAAGTTAGCTAGAACTGTTATTTTCTCCCAAATTCTTGCCAAAAGCATATTTTAGATCTTTATAAAATCAAACAAATTAAAATTTTCTTGTGGCTCAAGAGAAAACATTACATGCACTGGTGAAAAGTAATCCATGCCCAAGTTCACACAATACTTAGGGAAGTGGGAGTCCATTAGACCCAACTTACTTCATCCATTTGCAATGACTGACACGGGTCACCCTGTTGCCTCTAACCATTTCTGACACGATTTTTAAAAATCTTCTTCATTTAGTTTCAAAATCCTTTCCAAGTGTTGTTCACTTTCTGCATGAACTCCAGATACCTGCCATTTAATAGCGCGCATCCTAATGCTACTTCAACAAGAGTCAAGCATGAGTTTTACAGTCATATTCTGCAATGACTTCTCTTAAGTTTACTATTAAAACCTGAAAACTTTTTCACATTCATTAATCAAAACTGAGGAGCTATGGACAAAGACTATTTCATAACTCACCAGATCAGTGTGGAGGTTTCTGACTGAATTCTATATTGCAATTCCCTAAGAACATCTAGGTGCACTGAGTCAAATTTTGAGGGAGACAATCATTTACAAAGAATCATTCCTTCATTCCTACTCGTCCTAGGAAAGATTGTGGCTGTCTTTCTCCCATCTTGATATGTGTAAGTCATCCACTCTTTTAGGCCACTTGTCATGTCCTCCAGATCAGTCGAAATTCAAGTAGGCCATTCTGCCCCTCAAGCACATCCCACCATTCAATGAGATCATGGCTGATCTTAACATGGCCTCAATTGCACTTTATTGGTTTGTTCCCCATGACCTGTGACTCTCTTGTTGATCAAAAATCTGAATACTAGTATAAAATATGCAAATAGTACCACCTGTGTTGGAATGTTTTTGCATTCAGGCCTCTAAATCAGATGTATAGATAGCCACAGCTGCTGAAAATAGCTTATACAGGACTGTAGGCACGTGGAATGTTCAAATACCTTACAAACCGTAATTAGAGAATGCTAAGGGGCAGTTATATCAGTCTCTAACCTCCGCCAAACGCTTACATCACCTTATCACAGAGCTCCAGATATTTTTCTGAATCTCTCTTTATAATTCCTCACTACAAGAAAGCACAGCAAGGGTCGAAGAGTCGATCATTTGTGTGACATATCAGAATTGGAGAGAGATAGCCACAATCATCTTGCTGAAAATGTGACTAGTACTCATTGGAACATTCGCAAGAATGCAAATTTTAAACAAGCATGATCATTTATACAGGAAAAAAATGCTGATTGATTGACAAGTTGACTCAGATTGGCCAAGTTCATTTCCACAGGGAACTAGAGGCTCTCAGATCCCAGTTAATTCAAAATAACCAGACAGCTTGAGCATGCTCCTTTTGTTTATAGAGAACAGGTCCCTGTCTGAGTATATGTCATTTCTAGCAAAGGTAAAGCGGTGTCTGTCACTGGACTACTAATCCAGAAACCCAAACTAATGTTTAGTGACCTGGGTTTGAATCCTGCCATGGCAGATGATGAAATTGGAATTAAATAAAAATAAATCCAGAATTAAATGGTTAGCCAAGTAGCAACCATGGAACCATTGTCAATTGTTATTTTAAAAATCTGGCTTGCTAAAATCCTTTAGGGATTGAAAACTGCCATCCTTACCTGTTCTAGCCTACATGAGACTCCAGACCCACAGCAACATGGTCGACTGACAACTGCCCTCCATGCAATTAGAGATGGGTAATAAAAGCCAGACTAGCAAGCGACACAAATATCCTTTGAATAAATTAAAAAACCATCCATTTTATGTGCTTGACTGATTACCTCAAATTGGTAGTAAGTATAACTGTAGCACACTCTGGATTGCCCAGCAAGTGCTACCCAAATACAAAATCACATCAAAAATAGTTTTTCTTTTTGAACTTTCCAAGGTGCCCTGGTTGAGCACAGTCTGTACTCTGCTCATTACGAAAACTAAAAGGCATATTGTTTGAGTTTGCCACTTGCAGGGACGTAGAGCCTATGAATCTCCGAACCAATTTTTATCATTTATTCCTGTTGCATACATTGGTGCGATATTTGAAATTTGCATTGGGGTGTTCTGAGGAGTTCAATATGTCTCTTTTCAGCAATATTCAATTTTTTCAGTCAAGAGATGCATTACACAGTGTCTCAAAAAAAAAGGAGATTTAATATTTTTGAGAAGATTTGTAGCTCGGGTCATGGACGAGGTTGTAGACTTGCTCACCGAGCTGGCGTGTTTGATTGCAGATGTTTCGTCACCCTGCTAGGTAACTGCAGGAAGTATAGCTGTTTGTGGGTCGCGCTCAGATGGGCGACATTTGTCTCCCCGGGCATATAAATAACAAGCGAGAACACCAATGCTTCACCGGAGGCGCACTGACAACGTTACCTAGAAGGGTGACAAAAAGTGATCCAACACACCGGCTCAGTGAGCAAATCTACAATCTCAAAATTGGAGATTGTGACACTGTAATTTTTAAAAACTATTACAATAAATTAAAATGCAGAACTCTGCAGTATCACAAGTTGTGCATCTCAAACACTCACCCAATGCACCAAATCACTTCCATTCATTTGATTCACCTGACATTCCAAAAATACTTAGTCGTTATAAACAAGATACATCAAATCTGCTTCAAACTTTTAAAGGAGAGGAGTCCCATAGTGCAAGATTGAAATAAACTTATAATAGACCAGGGAATAAATTCTCTCTAGTCACATGGAAACAAAATTATTTTGATCTACAACTTCACTATTCCAAGCAGAGAGAAAAGCGAGAAAAGCAGAGAATTGGATTACCACAGGTACGTCTCATAGATTGGACCTGATCCAAAAACCAAATCTCTTTGGCAATATATCAAAGTGCCGCTGTTAATTAATTACCCAAATGTGCATTTTTTTGCTTTTGCCAGCCCAGATTCAGACAAGACTGTAACCTATCTTGTACGTTAAAGCTGGAGTCTTCTGATCTCTGTTGCTGACCTAGATCAGGCTAAACATTGTCCACTTACCTTTGCAGTTTTTCAGTTCAACTTCCAGGCTAGGAGCTTTCTGAACCAAAACAGCATAATTGAATCCAGGAGTCCTTGTAGACAACAACAGAATGGGACAGAGCTGAAACCACAGCCCCTTTTCTCCGGGTGTAGGGTGCCAGAGGAGGTGAAAGGATAGCAGATCGGTGAGGAATGTTGGTGCTACATGTGGGTGATGGGTTCACATGCCAGGTTAAGTGGGAGAGGGGAAGCAGTCCAGTCCTGTTTGAGAAGGTGGGGGCATTGGGTTTGGACAAAGTGTCAGGGACCAGGCAGTCCGAATTTCCTGGGAGTTCTGCGGGTTCGGTGTGTGCGAACGTGTGTGTGTACGAGAGATGTCTCGCTGGGTCAGGTCAGTTTTATCCCCACCCAGCAGTTAGAGCAGGTTATAATTCCTTTTTCGTCCCAAATAACTATCTTAAAAATATGGAATCTCCTGATGTCTCTCACTCTAACCCAGAGTTGGGGATATTTTCGGAGATTGCAGATACTGGGTAACTGCCCAACAAAAATGCCAACTTTCCAGGCAATTTTTGCACAGTCAGCTGTATCAGAACCTCTGCATGGTTCTGACACCCAATTCCTAGCTATACTGCTGCAAAGACAATCCACCGATCAGAAAATCTGCAACAGTTTCCAAACTCAGTCACTAGAAAAGTCTCATCAGTGTCATTTTCATAGGAAAGCTTCTGCTCATTTATAAGCCAGGATTATGCCACTCATTAGTGACGGGCGTGAAGACATCTGAAGTTCAGTGGAATGATGTCAGGTCGTTTCCCTCGGATCCCAATAATAAACAATCAGATTGTGCCTTATAGTTCTGTAGATCTACAAACTTGAATATTAGATTAACAAGATACTGAATCATCCATCACCAGGCACATCACGCTACACTTTGTACTCTGATAGTACTGTACTCACCTCCTTTAACATGAGTATATACATCATTCTCCAGAAACAAGTACATTTTCTTCCATTGCTTCTTTGGCAACTTATTGTATTCACAACATTTAAATGGACAAAAATAAAGAGGCACATTAACAGCCAAGTTTTGTAGTGTTTATTTTCTAGCAGACACACTACATAAAAGTCCCCTTAAATTAGTGTACATAATCACCCTTTTTAGGGCATGTCCCTCAGAATGCCGTAGAAACTGCTTGGAAGGCAGCTTTAGCTAAGAAAAAAAGAAAAAAAAAACCCACTTCAAACCAATTCCTTTAAAAACAAAAAGAAACAATTCCCAGAATGATAAAGCGGTGGAGCGTTGATTTCAGTATTTTTCAGTGCCTTTCCTGATTTTCCTTTTGAGGATTTTCTCACCAGCCTCTGGTCAGCTGCTGCTGGGAGGGAGGCGGTGGGAGGGAGGGAGGCGGTGGGAGGGAGGGGGGCGGTGGGGGGGAGGGGGGCGGGGGGGGATGGGGTGGGGAGCTCTTCTTTTCTCATGGTGTTTTGTCTTGCTAGATCACAAGGACTTCTGTTCACATGATTCGCACACCTTGGATTGAGGATTCCAGAGACTGAAAGCAAAGAGTTCAAAGTAAGTGCAAGGTTACAGCAGACAAGAACAGCCAGATAAAAACTCTGAAGGAAAGAAGGGAGCAGAAAATTTGCAGACTATAAAGTTTGCCTGTGGTGACGGAATCCTAATTTGAAGGGAAGGATGATATCAGCAGTATACCATACAAATTAAAGATGTAACAGCTGAAAGAATGAAGTTTAATGATTATATTTGCAGTGTGATGGACCAATTGTTTTTTTGATTAACTGTTACTTGATTTCTGAATTACTGAAACCTAAATGAATCCCTCCCCAATATAATCTTTTATAAATTATGTTTTATTTAGCCCATTTGCAGCCTGTCAAGCATATTTCACTGTCCCAATGACACTAGAAACAGCTGCCCATAAGATCATCAGATTTGCTTTCTGCCCTCCACCAAATCCATTTGGACTCCCTCCAATTGATGGATTGGGTTATTTTCTAATAATAAAGAATTTTGACTTGATTGTTAATCCAGAGACCCAGGTAACATTCTGGGGTCCTGGGTTTGAAACCTGCCATGGCAGATGGTGAAATCTGAATTCTATAAATATCTGGAATTAGGAGTCTAATGACGACAGTGAATCCATTGCCGTTTGTTGGAAAAACTCATCTGGTTCACTAATGTCCTTTAGGAAGGAAACTGTCATCCTTACCTGGTCTGGGCTACATGTGACTCCAGACCCACAGCAATATGGTAGACTCATAACTGCCCTCTGGGCCTTGCTAGCGATGTCCTCATTCCGTGAATGAATAAAAAAAATTAAGCAAACGAAGAATTACGTATGTTTTGCTGAATTGTGGTTATATGTTATAGACTTTCTGTAGGAAAGAAAACTATTTGGCCCAGATCATATTAAGGGCTTGCTTTAATGGATGCTGTTTTACGCCTCAAGCTAAAATAAAAGAAACAGCTGTGTTTTAGAATGGTAACGTATGTAACAGGCTACGTGTATTAGTTTGCCTTGTAAGTTTCAGCTTTAATTTGTTTTAGGTATCAACAGTTATTGTTGAGTCACATAGTTTCTTGCAGGTAAGGGAATTAATACATTTTTGAGAAAATTTAGATGCATTTGGAATGATAGTTAATCAGTCAGAAATGACAGAATATCGTCTAAGCGGATGTATGAATTGTTCATTGGTGACATATTGTTTTGGTAAATAAATATAGAATTGGTAAGGTAAAAGGGTCAAGCTGTTGTAAGAGTGATGATCTTACAAAAAACTCGTTGGCAGGTTATAAAATGAACAAGTAAACAGTAGAAAGTGGTATTAAGATGATCGGTACTTTAAAAGAAACCAAATCAGAAATTACGCACAGTCTAGCTCACAACTCAAGAATCACTATGGCTTACTCATGCATGAACTGTTCAATTAGGGTTCAAGATGTCTTTGATCATGCACAGAGCGTACTGTTTACTGAGTGTTAATAAGGTCTGGGTTTTTATGGTTCAGTGCACAATAAGGAAGATCTAAGACAGAAGAATTTCAGTCAAAAGAACAGGAGACCTGTCCCCAGCTAAACCAGTGTTGCGAATTGGTGTGCTAATGGGGATAGGTTGAATTTTTTTTTCATTTTTATTATCATATATAATAAATTCTGTAAACTTGTGAAAGCATATCTGCACCAGGAATGAGTCCTTAACTAATCAGAATTAGTAAACTTTAGATTGGCTCTTCAAAATCTGGCTATAATTGTACATGATTTGGGTCTTACAAGTAAAGTGAACCCCAAAGTTTTATACAACGCTCCCCTCCTTTCATAGTGAGTTTATTCACCTCAAACCAAAAACAGAAAATCAATCTGCATAGGACACACAAAAATTCATACTTGTGGCTTAAAACATTCATTCTCGCCTTTTCACAAGTTGCTTGCGAGTTTAGACACTGAGCAATTGCTGCCTTTTCTGATACTTTAAATGTATACCTTTGATTATTGATCTCACTCCCAATCAAGTTACAAAGTCAAGGCCCACACAAAAGACTTGTGAACATACTCTAAGTTGGTGAGTGATACTAAAGTGCAGAGGCAACCAGGTTGTTCTTGCGACAGTAATTAATTTGAGGCCATGCCTGCTTGTCAGGTAATGTAAAAGATTCCATAGCAGTGTGCAAAGTTCAGTACACTTTGAGAAGCAGTGAACTGCTTGGTCAGCCGTCATCCAAATTGATTAACTGGACATTCATCTTATTACTATTTGTGGGACTCTGAACAAATTGATGGCTATGTTTGCCTACAAAACAATGTTAAAACCACCCAAAAATAAGTAACTCGCTCCAAAGTGTTTTAGGACTGTCTAAGGATGTAAGAGACGTCTCGTAATTCCACCTTCCTTCACTCGGTTTTTACTTCAAAGAAGCAGTTCTTCAAAACATTTCAATCTCTCAGCTGTCCTCCAAAATAGGAGATAGCAAGAACTGCAGATGCCGGAGTCAGAGTCAATACAGTGTGGAGCTGGAGGAACACAGCAGGTCAGGCAGCATCAGAGGAGCAGGAAAGTTGACATTTTGGGTCGG